AACCCGTGAGAAATGACCTGTAATTGTGCCCATTACAGTTGATCAATAAAGAAAATCAAAGGGTGGCCGTTCATTGTGTATTCGTTTGGCTGTCAATCAAATGAAAAATTGGAGAAAACGATGGCGTCCAAAGGCATATATGAGGCGAGCTGGGTGGGAGCTAAGCAGACCCACAACAAATCACGAAGCTGATGAACAAGAGAACACGGTAAAGTGATAGGAAGTAACGAGAGTTAGGTAGGCGAGTAAATGAAACCCGGTTCAATAGCTATTACTGTGTCACAATTACGGACGAACCGAGCAGAATGAGATCAATCAAAAGAAATCAATTGGCCCTCCAGCAAAGCAGCTTGAGGCTGTGAATAGCCCGTGCTTGGATAATTTCCCGTCGATGTGGCCGGTTGAGAATCCTCTGCTGGTCTATCAGGTAACTGTGAGTACGAGGGTGGTTGAACAGTACTGGGATCTTCCGCTGCGATTGTGTTAGCTGATGGATGTTGACCAGGAGTGTGGGCAGCAGCGGTTGACGGATACATGCTACTTGGGTCCGTCCCGGCTTGGGGAGCCGGAAGTGATGCTTCCATTTCTTGGAAGGTGAAGTTATAGGACGGAGTACAATCAAATGGATGTACCATGATAAAAAAACAATGGTTAGGTATACCAAAATAATTGTTGGTGTCAGCTAGGTTGGCAATTTTCCTCGTACAGCGAATCTCTAAATGCACCATAAGCGGAAAAAGGCCAGTTGACAACAAAGATTGCGAAAGAATCCCAGTAACTTATTCGGTTCAAAGCTTAAGTTTTCCTTCTTGACTAGTGTTATGCTGAGAAAACCTCTCCTGCAAGGCCTAGTGGTACTCCTAGTTGAGTTGTATGATGAATAAGGGGCTAATCTGGGATAGAGATCGAGTCATCCACGAGTATTCATGAATGCTCGACTCCACTGCATGGGGAATAGGAAGTTCGTATGGAAGAATAACACAAACCAGTTCGCGGTCTCTTCAGATGAAAGGTGCCAGGGCACGAAAGGAGCCTCCACAGCAACAAACGTAATACCCACTGGCTTCCACTACAAAGATTTATATACAGGTTACGGTTTGCATCGAGTAACAGCTTTGAGTAAGCATAGATGCCTACCGGAAATCGTTGTTTTCACATTAACTGAAAAGCCAACAACCAATATGTCCCTCACTTAAGGAAATAATGCACACTGGGGGCAAAATGACATGAGTGAACGGCATGATAAAACGGTCCTACAGTTCTCATCTCAGCAACTGGTACTCAAAAGCCGCCGGAACGAGATCGTATTTCCAACTATCGCTATGGAGGCCACTTAGATGTTATGTTCGAAGTAAATACTACAACCACGCATGCTGTTCGTGTGTGGACTTACGCTGCATAGAATAAGGCCCTGGTGGATGAGACGGATATGCTCCAGGATGAATTTGTGGTTGGTTTGTTGTAGGAACCCCGTAGAATGGGTTGGATTGTTGTGGGTGGGACTGCGGTTGTCCGGGATAGTATTGAGGCATATTGCTCATGACGCCCTGGCCAGATCCGTATGCGCTTGGTGGAATGTACATTCCCTGAGTTGGTCCTGCCATAGAATAAGACGGGTTTGGTATTTGGTAACCGCCTGGATAGGGCCC